TTGTCTTTGTCTGTGGTTTTGGTCAATCTGGCTATAATGTATCTTGGAGAAGATCTTCTTGGGTTGATTCTATTTGGTGTCCTTTGTATTTCTTGGGACTAGATCTTTGAGTGTCTCTCTAGGTTTGGAAAGTTTTCTTGCAGGATTTCATGGAATCAATTATCAATGTCCTTATGAGTCTCTTCGCCTTCTGGGATGCCTATTATCTGGATGTTTGGACGTTTGATGGTATCTAGTATTTCTCGTTTATTATTCTCATTTTGGGGGGCAGCTTGCTCGGTCTCTGTGGTGGATTTTTCTAGGCCAGCAATTTTCCCTTCTACATCTGAGATTCTATTTTCTGTATGATCTAGTCTGCTTTTAATACTTTCAAGGGAGATTTTAACTTGTTGTATTATAGCCTTCATCTCTAACAGTTCCATTTGATTCTTTTTTAAAGTGTGTAATTCCCCTTTTAGATCTTGCAAGAATTTCCTCACCTCCTGGAACTCATCAGCTCCTTTCTCCTGCCTCTTCTGCAGTTCATTCTCTCTCGTCTCTTCCATCTCTGCTAGCTTCACCATTATGAATATTCCAAATTCTTTATCAGACATTTCCATGATTTCCATTGAACTGTCTGTGGATGAAAATGAGTTATTTTTTTTCCTTGGAAGAGAGGTATTTTCTTGCTTTCCCATATTTCTTGTGGCCCTGCGGTGATTTCTAGTCATCTGATGGATGGTGTGTTTCTTCCTAAACTTGAAGTTCAATCAGTGTTCAGGAGCGTGCGGAAAGAGATGATCTGGAATCACTTTGCCATTCTGTTTTGATCTCTTTGTGCAGCAGATTCAGTAGATATTGAGGAATATGTTAACCCTAATAGTATTTGGATGTTTGGCTATAGTTCCCTTAGCTCCATCTAGAAACAGAGAGAATGGTGATTGAAGAGCAGAGAGGCAAAATAAAAGAAGAAGAAAAGGAAACAGAGAGAGAGAGAGAAAAAAAACCAATAACAACAACAACAACAAAAACAGAAGAAAAGAAGGAAAAAAATTAAAAAAAACAACTAAAAAATTATTATTATTATTGTTTCTTAAAAGCAAAAAATAGAAAACCACACAGCGTGCTTGCACACCACACAAAATCACTAGTTCTCAGGAGCCATCTACATGTAATAGTTTAGTATCTTTGTAGGATACAGTGTATACAATATGTCCTGATCAGTCAGAAAAATAAACATATCCACTGTCTCCAACATGTATCATTATTTTCTATTGTACACATTGGAAATCTACTCTCTGGTTATTTTGAAATATATATTGAATTGTTACCACTATTCTTTATCTGCCATCCACGCATTTATATGCACTCCTGTATCTGCTAACCAAGTCCTTCCTGTCCCCCTCCCCCCTTTCCTTTCATCCCTCCTTTCCCCTCACACCCCCTCTTTTCCAGCTCCCGGTGTCCACTGTTAACGCTCTCCACTTCTACACAGTCAGATCTTGCAACTGCATTTTCTAGCCTGTGCTGATGAGTGAGGACATGCTCGTCTTTCAGATACTCGCTTACCTCACTCAGCACTATTTCCCCCAGCTTCGTCTAGTTTGCCTCAGATGACAGGAATTCATCCTTTCATATGGCTGAATAGTATTTCATTGTATGTACATGCTACATTTTCTCTTGTCCTTTTTTTTTTTTTTTAATGACAGCATGCATGTGCCTGCCTATGAGAGAAAAGAGACGGGGAAGACAAAGAGAAAGCACCCCACAATGGGATCTGGTCATGCCAAAATCCATTTTCCTCCAATTTTCCATCCCATGGGGATCCCAGGCATGCATGCACTGTGTTTTTCAAGCTGGCAGTGTGAGAATTAAACCCTGGCTCTTAGGTTGGCTCCACATCTCAGCTCGCATGAACGTCACAAGTCTGCATTTTGGCAGAGGTGGCTCCTAACTGGCCTCCCTTCTCTGCCTCCTGATTCCCTGCTCAGTGCTTCTAAGAGAGCAAGTCCCCTGTCTCAGAGTCACATGCTTCCTTTTTTTTTTTTTGGAGAGGTTTTTGCTATAGGGAACGTGTTTTCTCCAGAAAGAGAGACAGACAGACAGAGAGACAGAAAGCAAGAAATCACCCCCCCCCCCCAGGAGGGATGGCCACGCCGCAATCCCTTCTCTTCCATTCTCCTCTGGGGATCTTGGGCATGCACGTACATGTGCCTGGTGTGAGGTTAAGCCACCAGGTCCAGGACTCAAACTGCAGTCGACTACATGGGAGTCCAGCGACATAGCCATTACACCAACTGCTGGTCCCCAGAGCCACACATTTCCTAATGAACTACTTTGACCCTAAGGCAGCTCTTTATAATAGATTTCTTACTTCCATTTTCTGGTCTTAACTCTGTTCTCTGTGGCAATACAGATTTTTTTTTTTTTGTAATTATTTATTTTATTTTATTTTATTTTATTTTATTTACATTTTTTCTTTATTTACATTCATTCACTGTACATCATTATAGCATACAAAATGAGATTTTTCCATTGAGAATACACTGTATATTGGCTCAATCAAGCACATCAACATATGTGTTATTGTCAACAAATCATTTTCCATTTCTTGTTTTCTGTATATTTTGTGGCAATACAGATTTGAGGATCAATTAAATGGGGTCTTGGGCCCGCAGGTGGCATGGAGGGTAAAACAGCTGGGCTTACATAGCCAACTCTGTGCTTCAAGTCCTGGATTTGGTGGCTTGAAAATCACGCTGGGTACATGTACATGTGTGTCCAAAACTGCAAGAGGAGAATGGAAAGGAAGGGACTGTGGTATGGCCATCCCCCAAGGGTGCTTTCTCATTTTCCTTCTCTCTCTGTTTCTGTCTCTCTCCAGCAAGTGCAGGTACTCTATAGCGAAAACTAAAACTGAAATAAAGGGGTCCTATTTGTGAGAACAGTGAAGGCCTGGGTCGCTTTGATGGGGACTAGTAGGAGTGCTAGTCCTTTATTTATTGATTTATTTATTTTATTTTTGGAGTGCTAGTCCTAAGAACCCCTTTGCTCTTAGAGCTTCGGATAATGAAGCGCCCATGTCTCCACTGAGATGCCCCTTCCCACACTAAATAGCTCCATTCTCTTCTAGTCCAGCCAAAAAGGCAAAGATGCCAACGGTGGGGATGCTCAAGAGAGTTTGTAAAGGTTCTGAAGCATTTCCAAAAGAGGCATTCCAAAGATGGCTGCTCAGTGATGGCCTGCCGAGAACATTAACAGGGAGTTCTGCATAATCTAATCAGCAGTGGTTGGGTATCCCTGCAGCAAGAAGTGCTGAGGTAGGTGGTGGTTGTAATTAGTCCAGCTGTTCGACATAATCCAGCTCTATTTTTTTCTGCCCCAGAGTCCTTAGTTTTCATTTTTCACTGTAGTTACAAAATGCTCCCGTGGTAGCGTCATCTCTGTGTTCACAGCGGGACCAAGAGAGGCCCCTGCGTGGCGGTCAGGCAGAGGGGGCGCTGCTGTGCGGTGCTGGGCCCTCCGTGTTCAGGTCCTGGGACGGCCTGAGTATCTGAATATGCCGGGCTTGTTGGGACCTTTTCCAGATGCCTGTCTTGCTCTCTCAGCAAATAAGTAAATGAAAGAAAGGGAAGAAAGAAAAAGAAGAAGCAAAGAAGCAAAAACAAGAGAAAGGGAGAGGCACTAGCTGCTTTTCACCAAAAATGCAAACGCTTTCAGAACCCCAGCAGACCCGCTCGACCCGCTCGTGTCCCACTTGCAGGAACCTTGTCTTGTGATGACCACCATCTACAAGGTAGGTCTGGGAAAATCTTGAGAGCAGTGTTCTTTTTTATCATTTCCAGTCTCTATGTTGCAAGGGGAGGCAAGAGAAAAGCAATTTAGGAATGGACTTGGGATCACTGACCAGGGGCATGGCCTGGTGACGGTTCTGGGCAGAACTCAGGATGTGGGGGCTAGGTGCAGTTCTGCGTAGTTAGATGTTTGGGGGTGCCAGTCTAAATCCGGGGTTGACTATGGCTATTTAACGCAGAAAGGACAGCTCGAACGTTTTAGCCTGTACAACGTGCAGTGTGGTTCTTCCTCAGGGAGTGGGTTAGTGTACCTGGGTACCCCTGAAAAGCCAAGGCTCCTCACTGTTGGGTAAACAGTTATGTAGCCTTGTCGTGCCTGTCAGTAGGGTATTCCCTTAACACCATCTACTTGACAAGATGTGATACGGTTTGGATAATGGTTTGTCCCCCAAAGTTTTACAGAATTTGGTGTTCGGAGGTGGGGAGGCAGCGTGGTGGCAACATCTCATGAAGAGATTAATAATGTCTTTGTGAGACCCAGTGAGAAAGGTTAGTTCTCAGAGAGCAGCTGCTATGAAAGAAGACAGCTGCTTGCTGTGGCCCCTCGGGCATGCACCTGCCACCCTCTGTGCTTCTGTCAGCCCCGTCCTGGGCTGGGCTGGTCTGGTGGCAGGCGTGTGCCTTTGACTTTCTGGTCATCAGAACTGAGTCAATAAACTCCTGTTTCTTTATAAATCACCCCGTTTCAGATGTTTTTGTTAGAAGTGCTGTAACAGATTAAGACGCGTTGTAAGTAGAGATTCACAGGATTCCAGTGGAGTACATTGAAATCATGCAATTTCTCACCTTTATTATTATTGTTGTTGGCACCAGCAGTTGGCGCAATGGCTATGTCGCTGAACACCCGTGTAGTCAACCGTGGTTCAAGTCCCATACCTGGTGGCTTAAACTCACGCTGGGTGTGTGTGCGTGCATGTCCAAGATCCCAAGAGGAAACTGGAGGAGAAAGAATTGTGGCATGGCCATCTCCCCTGGGGGGTGATTCCTCACCTTCGGTCTCTATCTCTGCCTTTCTGGCGAGTGCAAGTACCCTGTAGCAAAAGCCTCTCCCCCCCAAAAAAAGAAATACTATCATTTTTTATACACTCAATTGTTACACATCATTTAGTTTGTAAAGAGATTTTACCTAACATGATATAAGCCACATAGCAGGCAAGTTGAAAGTACTAAACAGGACATCACCAACAGACAGCAAAGTTACAAATTTTTAAAATGTCAGTGTATTGGGGTACCGACATTACCCAACTTCAAGACTTATTGTAAAACTGTAACACAGTGGCTGAAAGAATAGCCAGACAGATCAATGGACTAGGACAGAAAATTTGGAAATAGACCCCGCACACTCCCCCAAAATAAATAAATAAACCCATACAAATATAGTCAACAAAGGAGCAAAGACAGTTCAGCAAAAGGTAGTCTTTTTTTATTTATTTGTTTTTAGAGAGATTTTTGCTATAGGGTACATCCTCTTGCCAGAGAGACACAGCAAGACAGAGAGACAGAAAGTGAGAAATCGCCCTCCAGGAGGAATGGCCATGCCACAATTCCCTCTCCTTGTTCTCCTCTAGGGATTTTGGGCATGCACGTACAAGTGTCTGGTATGAGTTTCAAGCCTCTGGGTCTGGGACTTGAACCACGGTTGGCCATGTGGAAGTCCAGCGATGTAACGTTATACCATCTGCTGGTCCCGAAGATAGTCTCTAAACAAATGATGCTGGGACAACTGGCTGTCCACATACAAAAATGGTCTGATGTTTGTGGCTCCCTCAGATTCGTGCACTGAAACCCTAACCTCCAGTGATGGCACAGGAGGTGGGGACCCTGAGGGAGCCAGGCACATGTGCATGCTCACCCGGAACCCTGAAAGGAGGGAAAAGCAGAGGAGGTAGTTGCATGACCACTCCTATGGGGATGCTTTCTCACACGCTCTTTCTCCCTCTCTCTCTTCAGCATGCGCACAGGCCCAGCAAATTAAAAAAAAAATCCAAGAAACTAACAATACCAAATACAGGCAAGGATGTGGAGCTAGTGGGAACTCTAAGAGGTTAAATAATTGACCTGGATCATTCTTTTTTTTTTTTTTTAAAAAAATTATTTATTTAATTTTATTTATTATTATAATTTTTCAATTTGACCAGAGAGAGAGAGGGGGAAAGTGAGAAAGTAAGCTGCCAGGTCCAGGACCTGAACCGTGGTCGACCGTGTGGGAGTCCAGCACCTCAACCTCCACATCACTTGCCGCCCCTGACCTAGGTCTTTCTTGGAACATGGGATCCCGGGACCCAGCCAGGACTTGATCAAACTCTAGATTTCACACTTAACCCTTTGCTGTGTTCCTCAGGCTGTTCTCACCCACCTTCCATCTTCATAGTTATCGCCACGGTTACAGACCTTCCATGCTATCACTGGGCTAATCGTTTCCCTTGGGTGGGAGTGTGGCCTAGAAGTTAAGGTCACATGGCTGACCACACAGTCAGCCTGAGAACATGTCAGACTTGTGTGCTCCGAACCCCAACATCCCAGGAGGAGAGGGTGTGACCTCTTGTGGAGGCTTTCTCCGTCTGTGGCAAGTACACGCACCCTCTGGCAATTGCTTTTCTAAAGAAACAACTGAGACGTTGCCACTTACAACGCACTAAATAGAGGAGAGATGCCAGGGCCAGCAGGTGTCACGGTAGTTAAGGTGCTGGAGCCTACGGGGCTGATTCCGCAGTTCGGGTCCTGGACCTGGTGGCTTGAAAAACCCACCGGGTGCATGTGCGTGTGCCCCACATCCCCAGAGGAGAATGGAGAAGGGACTGAGGTGTGGCCATCCTCCCCAGGAGGTGATTTCTCACTTTCTCTCTCTCCAGTGAGTGCATGCGCCCTACGGCAAAAATCTATAAAAAGTAAATAAATAAATAAATGTCATAAACATAGGCGTAATACCCCAAACTATCAAGTTCTAGGAGAAAAGCTTTGTGACCTTGAGTTAAGCAAAGATTTCTGTACTATCACAATAAAAGCATAATCCATAATGGAAAATATTGATAGATTGGACTTCATCAAAATTAGGAACTTCCAGGGCTGGCTCCATGGAGCAGTGATAAATTCACTGCTCAAAAGAAGCTGGATCCTGCAGGATGACTGGAGTTTGGACCCAAGGGCCAGTCAGTCTGAAACACAGTGGGCATGTGTATGCATGTTCAAGGTCTGATGGGCTGGATGGGAAGACCACGGTTTTAGGACGACCTGACCCTGGAGAGATGCTTCTCTCTTTCTCTCTCATGTGCATGTTCTGACTCTCTAGAAGAAAAAATTAAGAACTTCTGCTCTGCAAAAGATGATATGAAAGAGCCAGCTCCTTTGTGTAGTAGTTAGGTTGCCCAATCCCACAGGGCTTACCATGATTCAAATTCCAGCCCTGGGAAGCTTGAACAACACACTGGGTGCATGTGCATGTGGGCCTAAAATCCCAACAGGATGGAAACACGGAAGAGAAGGGATTGTGGCATGACCATGTCCTATTGGGGGATGCTTTATCCCTCTCCTTCTCTCTCTTTCTGGTATGCGTGCATGTGGCAAATAAAACAAATAGACAAAACACAAAACTCTCCACATTCCTTTAAACATTTTTTTTTTTTGCCAGAGGGTTCATGTGTTGACCAGAGAGAGAGAGATAGAGTGTGAGAGAGCTCCCTCCAGGGGTAGCCATGCACAATCCCTCCTCCATTTCCCCCTCCCTCTGGGATCTTGGGCACACAGACACATGCACCCAGCACGTTTCTCAGGCTGCTGGGTCTGGACCTTGAACCGTGCAGTCAGCCAAGTGAGAACCACCTTGCCATAGTCAAGCCACTTAGGCTGCCCCAAGCTCCCACGGTGTTCTAGTTGACTACATTTTGTCTTCCCAGGAGACTGTAAGTCCTTGCTTCCTCAAATATGTTCTCAGGCCAGCATTATTGGCATCGCTAAGGGCTTTTCAGAAATGCAGAGCTGGGTTGACCAGGTGACATGGTGATTAACGCAGCTGGATCCCACATGGCTGACTGTGCAGTTTGAATCCCAGTCCCGGTGGCTTGAAAAACATGCTGGGTGCATGTTCATATGCGTCCAAAAATCCAAGAGGAGAATGGAGGAGAAGGGATTGTAGTGTAGCCATCTCCCCTGGGAGAGAATTTCTCTCTTTCTCTCTCTTTCTGTTTCTGCTATAGAGTACGTGCCCTATAGCAAAAATGTAAAAAAGAAAAATGAGAAGAAGTGCAGGGTGGTGGTAGTACAGCTTTAATGCACCGGACCCACATGGGAAGGTTCTGGGGCTGCCTCTTGGGGCCTTCTGCTCACTGCGTACTGTGCAAGTGTCAACAACCCTGGCTGACTGAACTGGGAGTGGACTGTGGTGTGGAGACCTCATCAGGGGTGCTTATGTTTCTCATGATAGAACCAAATCCACTTTCAAAAAGAAACAAAGAGGGGCCAGGACCAGC